ACATTGTCGTTGTCTCTTTCTTCTCGAATTCGTTTTGAACCTTGTTTTTCCTTGCATGAAAAAATATTTTCAAAGAAAGATGCATTTCTTGATTCTATTACTGTATTTTCATGGATATCTGATATTTCAGATTTATGTACCAGAAATCGATAAGCACTACTATTATGTGCATATCCGATGAAGATGCAATCCACTGTTTTAGATCCAATAGTGACCTTTTTTGGTGGTGGTACCGCAACTTTTGCTAAGCACCTCCACACTTTGAGGTATTTATACGATGGTAAATTACCTTTCCATAATTCATATGGAGTTTTGCCAGTTACTTTGTGTGGAATTTTGTTGAGGATATAGTTAGTGGTAAGCAACGCTTCCCCCCACAGGTTCTGGGGCAACCCTGATTCCTGCAACATTGCATTCATCATCTCTTTTAGAGTTCGATTTTTGCGTTCAGCAACTCCATTAGATTCTGGTGAGTAAGGGGCTGTAGTTTGATGAATTATTTCATGTTCTTTACAAAATTCATTGAATGGCCCATCATATTCGCCTCCTATATCGCTTCTAACTATTTTAATAGTTGTTTTAAGCTGATTTTCTACCTCGAGTTTAAATTTTTTGAATTTTTCTAAGGTTTCATCTTTGCTACATAATAAGTATACATAACAATATTTTGTGCAGTCATCTATGAAGGTCACAAAGTACTTTTTCCCACCTCTAGTTTATATATATTTTAAATCACATAAATCGGTGTGAATTAAATCTAGAGGTTTGTTAGTTCTTTCAACATGAGGTGAGGGTGTTTTTGTGAGCTTAGCCTGTACGCATACTTCACATTTTTGTTTACTTGTTTTACATTTTGGGATTAGATTTAGATTCATTAATCTTCGTATCGATTTGTAGTTCACATGGCCTAATCTTTCATGCCAAATATTAAAAGACTCAACCAAATAAGCAACTGGCTCTTATTCATTGAAACTTTTGGAGCTACAACTTTTGGAAGGACTGTCATTATATTAATTTTGACCAGTCCATCCTTAACATACCCCTTTCCCAAATACACCACATTCTTCCTAATCACGAGCTTGTCCGCCTCAAGAGATGTGGCGAATCCATTCTTGCTGAGCAAGGTTCCCGAAACCAAGTTCTTCCTCATGTCAAGCACATGCTTCACATTCTGCAGAGTGACTTCACGTCCAGATGTCATCTTCAGAACCACCTTGTCGCGGCCTTCAATCTTGGAGACTGCTTTATTCCTCACGAACAGCTTCTCCTGAGTCTTGCTTTTCTGATAAGTGCTGAACATCGCCCTATCAGTGCAAATGTGGGTGGTGGCACCAGTATCATACCACTAATATTGGGGTTGTTGTTTTCAACCATGTTGACTTCAGTCACCACTGCAACGAGATCTTCCTCCGTGAGATTCACCTGGGCCTTCTCATCTCTGATCTTGCTGCGACACTCAACAGTCGTGTGACCATTTGTGTGACAGTAGTGGCACTTTCCCTTGAATTTCTCCACATTCTCATTGTTTTCATTGCCTTTGCCTTTCTTCTTGAAGTTTGGTCCAGAAACCTTCAAGTTTGCAGCTGTCTTGGAAGGCTTGGCAGGGGAGTTAGCAATTGCCTTTCTTTTACCTTTCGTTTCAGCCACATTAACATTGTGCTCTTTAGCTTCGAGCTTGTCATTCTTTCGGTTTCTGGCTTCCATCTGAAGCCTCTGAATGAGATCCTCAAGTCCCATCTTCTTCTTTTTGTGCTTCAGGTAATTCTTAAATTCAGCATAGCTTGGAGGAAGCTTTTGGATGAGGCTGAGGGTTATGAATGTCTCATCTATGGATATTCCCTCAGCAGCAATTTCATAGCAAATGAGCTGATACGCTTCCACCTGATCCATGATGGGTTTTGAATCCACCATTTTGAAGTCATGGAATTTTGCAACTACATACTTATGGCAGCCAGCGTCTTCACCTCTATGCTTCTTGTCAAGCGATTTCCATAGCTCTTCAGCCGTTGGAATCTCACAGTAGACTTGGTACAATGGGTCACTGAGACGATCCAAAATGTAGCCTTTGCAAATGAAATCCGAATGCACCCAACTTTCAACACTTGAGAAGACGTGCATATCGTCAATCCCGTGAGGGATAATGGGCTTATCTTCCTTGATGAATTTGTCCAACTTGCACAAACTGAGGAAGAACAGCATCTTCTTCTGCCACGTTTTGAAGCCTTTGCCATCAAATTTGTATGGAATCATATTCTAAGAGATGACACTAGGAATAGCCGGAGGAGTCGCAACTGCAACCAGAACACTTGTGGATCCTTGAATTAGACCCGTTTGATAAAGCCCAGCATCGAACAGGCTACGGCGTGTGGTCTCATCAGGAATAGCACCCACTGGAAGGGTCGCATCGGTTGATACAGCGTTCGTCATGCCGGTTGCAACAGGTGTTGTCGGGTTGAGTGGAGTCTGAGTCGCGAGGTCAATGGGGGTGTTCTCATCGTTCGTCATTTTTCTGAGAGAAAATATGAAAACGGATCAGTACTCCATACAACCATTCAAATAACAACATATTATTTTTAAGCAAAAATAATAGTGTGAAATCGATTTTCATTTTTGGTAATCTGAACCAAATCATATCGATACAAGTCTGGAAAACGTTTTGCAAACTCGCTTATAAGCGTTCGCAGAAACCGTTTAGTGTAGACTTAGAATGTTTAACAAATTCACTTAATAAAGCATCTGTGGAAACGATTCATATATAAACGTTTTAAGAGAAACAAGTATCTAAAACGTTTCGCGGATGATGCTATAAGAAAACCGCAAATTGTTTTGAGATAATAAACGTTTCGCGGAAATGATAGAACCAAATCGCAAACAGCGTTTCAAAGACCGTTTCGCGGAAGTGCTATAGAGCAAATCGCAAACACGTATAACAGACAAATATTAAACGTAGAACGTTTTGCGGAAGTGCTATAGAGCAAATCACAAACACAATTCCAGAACCCGTTTCTATACATCGCTTTTTTCAACCCGATTAAAGCTTTAGACAGAAAGCGATTAAGAGTTAAGATTGTAGAAGCCGGAAAACCGGATCGACTTAAACGATATAAGAAAGACGGAGTTAAGGAAACAAACGATTATATAAGACACGGAGGTGAGATAAATCTCTTTCCTTAACTCGTAATATTCGCTCCGTAGTGAGACGAAACTGTACGAATATTAAGTCCCAGGATACAACCATGGCAGACGAATCACGCTTCACTCGTGAAATGATCTAACGAACTAAAATTCTACGAACACTCTCTGAAAACTTACTCTGAGAGATTGCTGGATTTTTTCTGTGTAAAAACGATTAAGGAATGAAGAAGAGAAGCGAGTTTATTTAAAGAGAAAGACGAGAGCCACTTCCCGCAACAACTGCTGCACGTGGGCGAGAATCTCGCGGAGATCGAGGGAAGTTGAGTAGCGAAATCTTTTTCCGCAAGACTCTCTTTTCTCGTTTAAATATCTGAGAGGATAAACTGCGTAACATTTTTTTATTTGTTAGACAAACTATTTGTCATTTTAAATAAAATTGCATGTTGTTTTTTGAAGTTTAAATGGCAAAGCGTTGAGCTTAATTTGGTCCAAAAATATAACTTCTTATCGGGCCAAAGGCCCTCCAATAAAACCCAAGCCCAAGCTCAAAACCAAGCCTAAGCTCAAGCCCAAGCCCAAGCCTAGCCGGACTGACTTGCTCCCTTTCACATCATTTAATCAAAAAGGGCTAGGCCAATTTCTCTTCACTTAATGACAATTATTGATAAGCCTTGGGTTTAATAAAAATTGATCCAACAGCTTTTTCATCTTCCATGACACCAGGGAGTCACCAAAAAAAATAGCATAAGCAGTGGGACATGCAGACAAATCAGCATCACCACTTAACTTTTAACATAATATCCTGGTCGGGAGTACCTTTCAAATATTATACAGCACATAAGACATAAAAAAAATAGTCATACAACAAAAAAAACTGCAACGTCCATTTGCGTAATAATTTGTTATGATTATTTTAATATTTTTGCAGTGATAATTATTTGCTGCAGCTTCATTACAAATTTATTGCAAAATCACAACCATAATGGATGTTGTATGTTTTCATAACTAAATTGCAACATTTTGCAATGAAAAGGATATATTGCTAATTTTGCAAGAAACGTTTAACACTTTTGAATCATTGCTAATTGTTAAAATTAAAATAATAATAATAATAATAATAATAATAATAATAATAATAATAATAATAATAATAATAATAATAATAATAATAAGTGGCAAAAATGTGACCGTAATTATATGTTTTATAGAAAAATTGAAATCTATACTAATAAAATGAGTCTTTTGAGGTTCTAGAGAGTGTTCACATCAACATAAAAACTCAATTCCAAAAAATGTCACCTGACATCATTAATAGTATTACCTTATTATGTTTAGTTTTACATTTTTAAAATATTGATATAATGTATATTTTTACATTTTAATATTACTAATATGTAAATATACAACATTATAAATGAAAATAATAAATTAAACATATGTAAGATTACCATGATATATATAATTTCAAAATAAAAAAATCTGTAAATTTATACTAATAAAAAAGACCTCAAAAAACTCATTTCTAAAAGATGCCACATGGCATCATTAAGATTATTACTTTATTATGTTTACTTTTACATTTTTTGAAATATTGATATAATATATAGTTTAACATTTTAATATTACTGATAAATATAATTTCGAAAATCATAAAAATATGTAAATATACAACATTATAAATGGAAATACTACATTAAACATATGTATGATTACTATGATATATAATTTCAAAAATAAAATATATGTAAATAAAAATATTAGAAATGGAAATACTACATTAAACATATGTAAGATCACCATTTTACATTTTTTAAAAAATAAACCAAAAATATTGATAATATTATTACCTTATTATTTTTAGTTTTACATTTTCGAAATATTGATAATGTATAGTTTTACATTTTAATAGATAATGATCTGCATTTAAGTGTTTTCCAAAAATGTTAAAGCTCTTATCAACCCAAGTGTGTCATCTATCTTTGCTTGAAGTTGAAATATTCTTACTTTCCAGCCGCAGGGCCAGACTTGTGATTGTTGAAAATGTGAACATCAGGCAAAAGGTTGTTAAAGATTCCACGAGCTGCGAATCTCATGGAATGTTCAAAGTCAGAAGAAACTCTTGCAGAGAAAGTCCAACCACGTATCTTCTTCGCCATTCCTTCTTCTACCCACTGGACGGCCTGAAGTGGCCATATAAACAGATAAGACAAAGTTTGCAGTAAGGAAGAAAATGAAGAAGAAGAGAGTACATACGGTGAGAGTCTGAACATTCAGAACTGTTAAAAGAACTTCTCCACCTCCCTGTGGAGTAGCTGCTTCTATTTTAAGATCTAAACCTTCTGAAGGGACTCCAACACGCTTCAAAATGTGTAAAGTAGCGTTACGTATAGTGTCAACGCTCAGGTCCTTAGGATCATTATTTACTCCTGCATAAGTAAATATTTCCCAGCTCCATCATAATAAATTCTTTTTCAAAACTATTGTACATAAACCTACACACTAAGCTCAATATGGTCTTCTTCGTAGAAAAGTAGTTACCTTTAAGCCTAATCGAAAGGGAATTCTTTCCAAATAAACCTAGCACAAGCAATGGCCCCAGGTAATAGCCCATAGATCGAGTCAGGGCACAACTGTGAACTAAGTTCTTCCCTCCCATTATTATTCCAGGCTTGTACTTCAGTCGAGTCCCTGTCAAGACCAGTGACATAATCAAAACTCAAAACTGAATGGCAAAATGTTGTCTCCAACACTTAAAGACACTAATTACAGATTCAGCTACAAAGCACAAACTAAGATCTTGACTCAGTCCTAAGATGGATAACTCTGATTTGTAGTTTCTATGGTCTGGGACTGAAGAAAAAAAACAACCTTTAAGATGTGTGAGAACGTACTAACCTGTCTCGTTAACCTCAACAACGCAGTCATCGGAGACAGTCTCGAAGAGGCGGAGAAGAGACATCTCGTGATGGAGAAGGCCATGAATCATGTCGTCGGCGCAAATCTCATCTATGATTATAGGAATTGAAAAAAGGGTCGTGAGAAGTAGCCTCTGCCTGAAGCTATGGCTTCCCTTTAACCGCTTGTATGTCCTCTTCCCCATTCTTTCTCTGACGAAAAATGGTGAGAAAGATGAAAAGAATCCATTCAAGGATTGATTAGGGTAGATAGTGGTGAAGTTATTAGTTGAAACGGATATGGAGTAAAGAGCAATGGAAGATGTGGAAGCTGGGAAGTAAAAGGGAATTCGGAAATTAAGAGAAGACAAAGAAATTAGGGTTTAGATCTACAATCGTGTATTGTCTCCTCCTCAACAAACAGATGGAGAACAAACCAACGATGAGACGAAACAAAAAAAAAATTGAAGCCCAAAACCAAAGAAACACAGCCCAAAACAAAATTGCATGGTATGAAAGATGGGAAAATGCACATTTAATTCCCCCAAGTATTTGAAATCGGCAATTTTAATACTCAAGTATTGGTCGCGCAGAATAATTCTCCAACTAATAGTTGACTGCGCGAAATTAGGAACGAAATAGTCAACCGTTAACTGGTTAACGGAAAGATATTAACGGAAAGATAACGGTTTCCGTCAATCTTTTAACGGTTGACTATTTCGTTCATAATTTCGCGCAGTCAACTATTAGTTGGGGAATTATTCTGCGCGAGCAGTACTTGAGTATTAAAATTGCCGATTTCAAATACTTGGGGAATTTAAAACATCAATATTTTTTTACAAAAATATATAATTTAAAAGATTTTAAAGTCAGATACAATCAATATACGAGATTTTTACTTTTTAAAAGAGATTTTTGAGCTTTTACAATAACATGTACAATAATAAAAATAGTTATAGTTGCAGTTTATTGTTGATGTACATCATGTTTATAAAATCACATATGGATGATTTCATATCATTTACGGAATCATATGTTGTAAATTAGATCTCTACTTTAGACTAGGGATGGCAAAAAATATCGAACCGAATGAAACCGAACCAACAGAACCAAAACCGCTCCAAACCAAACTGAACCGAGTTTAAACCGAACCGAGAAAACAATGTGCTTTTGTTATTATCTGAAAACTAAAGTCTCTATTAACTTTATACAATATACTTAAATCCTAAGGCCAACTCCAATGGAACACCAAAACACTAAATTTTGTGTGATTTCAATTCCAATGAAACACTAAAAATTACACCATCCCACCAAATTTGGTGTAGAGTGAATAGTGTTACACCAAATTTGGTGTAACACTATTCATCACACCAAATATTAAATATGCATATTTTATTATGTTACATTCAATAAGATAATTTAATAATAATTATAATTATTATTAATTAGTTTAAACATGTAACTATATTTAAATATATTATATTATTTGTATTCTTAATTATTTATGCATAATTATAATGTTTTATTTATTTTCAAGTAAAAAACACTAAATAATTTTATCATTTACTTTATATTCTAATATATTTTTATTTTAAAATATCAATTTTAGCTCGGTTCAGTTTGGTTCGGAGTGGTTTTGGTTCAGTTGGTTCGGTTTCATTCGGTTCGATATTTTTTGCCATCCCTAGTCTAAAGTAGAGATCTAATTTACAACATATGATTCCGTAAATGATATGAAATCATCCATATGTGATTTTATAAACATGAAGTACATCAACAATAAACTGTCACTATAACTATTTTTATTATTGTACATGTTATTGTAAAAGCTCAAAATCTCTTTCAAAAAGTAAAAATCTCGTATATTGATTGTATCTTACTTGAAAATCTTTTAAATTATATATTTTTAAAAAAAAAAATATTGATGTTTTAAATTCCTCAAGTATTTTCAATCGGCAGATTAAATACTCAAGTATTTCTTGCGCATAATTATTCCCCAACTAATAGTTGACTGTGTGAAATTAGGAACGAAATAGTCAACCGTTAAAAGATTGACGGAAACCATTATCTTTTCGTTAACCAGTTAACGATTGACTATTTCGTTCCTAATTTCGCGCGGTCAACTATTAGTTGGGGAATTATTTTGCGCGAGCAATACTTGAGTATTAAAACTGCCGATATCAAATACTTGGGGAATTAAATGCCCATTTTCCCTATGAAAGATATGTATTTGCATGGTAGTATATTTTACGTGAAAACTGAACATATGAAGATACTTTGGGCATGAAAGATAATTAATACTGCATCATCTGATTTATACCTGGTCATATTTCAGTTGAGACAAAGTGCAGTTGGTTATATTTCGCAAACAGGAGCGGCTTAAGGGAAAAAGAAAAGTTTATGCTCCGTCCGACCTCATCTTCATACATGTATTTATACTAAAATTAAATTATTTAAAAAAGAAGAGTAATAATTTAGAATAGTCTTAAAATTAATTATAAAATCCCCACTAAAATATAAAAAGTGATCAAAATAGGTTTCATCAAAGAAGTAAATGACAATTATATTCTATATAAATATAAAATAAATAATATTTTTTAAATTGAAATTTAATATTTGAAAATAGATTGAAATTTTTTTTTGAGAAAAATATTTGAGTTTTTTATTTTGTTTGATTTTCTTTTTGAATTTTCTTTGAATAAGATTTTTTTTAAAAAAAAAATAGGAAAACCTTTCTGAATATATTGATATCTTCTTGAATTTGAATTTAAAAAGATATTTCAAAATATATATAATACATGCCTAAAATATAGAAAAAAACTTATAAATATGTATAATATCTTCCTAAAATTTAGAAAAGTTTTCATAAAGGTCTATTTAATTCTTAAATTTGTATTTATGAAGACCTTCATAATAAATATAATTACGAAGATGTTACTAAATTTGAACTTATATGTATATCTAATAACATATTCTTATATATAACATCTTCCTAAAGTTTGGAGGACCTTCCTGAATTATATATCTAAATTTATAAAGATATCATACATATTTAAAATCATATTAATAAATTTTCAAAAGATGTTATATATTGAGTAATAATTTCCTACATATGCATATAAATCAAATTCTGGAAGATAACATACATATTTAGAAAGAAATTCATAAATATACATACAATTTACGTCCAAGAAGTCTATTTACACATTTGTGAAGGCATTCTTGAATTCAGAACTTTTTTTTTACAAATTCAAGAATATATCATACACGTTCATAATGTTCTTCCTAAACTCTTTTGAAGAAAAAATCATGGACATTTTTGAAAAATTGACTCAAAACTCAAATTCAAACACAAAACTAACTTCTTCTTTTAACTCATCTTGTCACCCCACATCTTCATTTTATTTACGAAAATGCCACTAATTTTTTTTGAAAATGGCATTTTAACTCTCTCTACCTCATCATTTTAAAATATTTACAACATTGTCATTTCCATGAATACTCCCAACAACCTTGTACAACCAAGGTTTGAAGCTTTTAATGCAATTAAAATCGATACACATACTCTCTTTCTCAATTGTTATGAACTAAAAACAACATCTCCTTCACTTTGTCTCCATATTCATACAAAAAACCCAAGCTTTTGATAGCAAAAATTTTATGGTTAATAGAGCCATTTAAGCATACAATTGTTGGTGGGTTACTTTCGTTTGATGTTCTGGGTGGTTGGAGAAGATTCTGTGTGCAAAGGAAGTCATCTCACCTAGTTTAAGGTATGAAATTGAAGTTTTTTTCCAGATCTGTTCGCGTAGAAGACTTACCCGTAAGTCATCTGGATGTAGAAGACTTACGGATAAGTCTTCTAGTCAAATGGACGACTTACTTCTAAGTCATCCAGATTTGTTTGTTAAAAAAAAAACACCAGGCGAGTTATAATTAAGTCGTCTAGGTAAAACGGGCTACTTTTGCATTTGACCGAATTGTGTCAGATATTTGACTTTTTCTGGACGATCTACAATTAAGTCGGCTCTGGGAAAGTTAAAATTTCAATATTTTATTAAATCTAGACAACTTACGGATAAGTCGTCTTAGGTTAGTTTTGCAATTCAAAAATAAAACTTAAACTTTTAACTTCTCTAGACGACTTAATTGAAAGTCAACCGATCAGACGACTTATGTTAAAGTCGTCCAGGATAATCAAAGTCGTCCAGAATATTTTCCGAGTTTTCTGGTCAAACCTTGCTTATCCTGGACGACTTTAACATAAGTCGTCTGATCGGACGACTTCCAATTAAGTCATCTGGGAGAAGTTAAAAATTTAAGTTTTATTTTTGAATTGCAAAACTAACCTGAGAGGACTTATCCGTAAGTCGTCTAGATTTAATAAAATATTGATATTTTAACTTTCCCATAGACGACTTAATTGTAAGTCGTCCAGAAAAAGTCAAATATCTGACACAATTCCGTCAAATGCAAAAGTAGCCCGTTTTACCTAGACAACTTAATTATAAGTCGTTTGATGTTCTTTTTGTAACAAACAAATCTGGACGACTTAGAATTAAGTCGTCCCATTTAAATTTCAATTGGAAAAATGACCTCAATGGACAACTTATGGGTAAGTCGTCCAGACGACTTACTGGTTGTCGTCTGCGTCGATGTTTAGTATACTTTCATGATATTCTCTGTGTTTACTAATGTGTTTTATTTTGAATTTTTGCAGATGATTTGTCAGTTACATGCAGTGTATGGAGAATGGTTGTTGAAAGATTGCCGTTGGGATTTTGTGGTTGATGATCTCAAAGGAGCAAGATTGTTTTTATTGAATGAAGATTCAACACATGCTGAACTTGTTCCAATGGCACAAGAAGATTATATCCTGGACATGAGCACAGTCACTGTGGAGATTAGATACTCTTTACCAGCAGAAATGATGATGGCTCCAGACACCCCTCCCATTCATGTCACAAGTGATAGACAAGTTCGTAACTTACTCGAGATACTCAAAACTCATAGAGTATGTCTTGTGTATCAAGTCGTAGCAAGGTGGGAACTGTTTTAGAGGAAAGGGAAGAAGCTGATGAATGGTTTGATGATGATGAAGCTGATGAATGTTTTGAAGATGAAGGTGATAATGAAATGGTTGAAGATGAAAATCATGATGGGGAGGAGGATGATAAGAGGAGGATGCTGAAATCTCTGTTTGCTCTAATGTTGCTGAAGCGGACGAGAATGGTGTGGATTATAGTGTTTATGGAAAGGTTAGAGATGAGGATGAGGAAGAAGATGGCGATGTGGTTTTTGAAGATTTCAAAGATACATATGCTATTGAAGGAGGACGATCGAATGGTAACAGTATATATGTCAACAAGAGTTTTGTTAGGAAGGAAGCACTG